GATCCAGTAAAGGTCATCTCGTATTGTTTCTATGTTTAATTATTAAATGCTAAAGTGTTTGGTATTGCTATAGACCAAACTAGACGCATTCTTCCCACTATCTCATGCGGTAGATTGATGATATAAAAACTGTTTACTGCAATTGTAAGCATTCACTGACACTGTTTTGAAAAACAACTTAATAGCGATTACTCGAGCTGTGACGCTAAAAATTCTAGAATTTTTGACACATTTCCTGTAAATTTCCGTGGGATGAGTCTTATCAAGATCCGTGGCGTGGAAAACGGTGTTATCTAAGTGCAAATCAAAATTTTTTTCTGATTGTTGATTAATTTTACGTTCATGATTCATCAAGCGATTTATTTTTAGATTCAGAACTCTCTTGATGGGCAGTCAAATGATTCGTTTCTGCAGTATGTTATCAGTGAATCACATTGCTTGCACTTAATGTTTCCTGTGATTTGTTTGTAAGTGTTCAAGGAAAACTAACGCGGAGCATCGATAATGTGATTGCCATTGTGGCGAACTGATCATGAATTATCGCACTTTTAGTGTTCATTTAATAGACACTCGATTAGACGAGGCAGCAACCTTAAATTGCCCAATAGGCTATTCCAGCTTTTAATTTTATGCGCGCAGGGGGTGACGGGAAGGTATCATATTGCAGATATGCTGAAAAATTTTCAATAATACTCTTTTTACATTTTTATTTTTACAGCATAATCACTAATCAGCAATAAGATACATTACTTCTCATCCCCCCTGCACGCATAAACTAAAAGCTGGAATTGCCTATTTGGCATATAGCTTTATTCTTGATGAGTTATTCCACGCTATTGTCCATTTATATAGGCACGTACGGCTTTTTATATAGTTTGTTAATTTTCGGCTCTTGTAATAAAAAAATACGTAGTAATAGTAGTTTGATTGTTTGCGATTTCAAACAGTTTATTCATGCTTTCTGGAAGCTCGTTATTACCACAGAATAGCATATACAGAATAGAGACGTACAGAAGTCCGACTCAGCCAAAAAAAGTGTAACCGCCGCCACCGGCACGATTCACAAAGATTCGTCATCCGCGCCATGTTTCTAGCCAGTGCGGTTGAAATGCATTCACCCTCCTGAACGTTCCCCATTTTGAATATTTTCAGGGGGGTGACGCCTTGCAAATCTCGTAGCCGTCGCCGAATTCAAAACGGGAATCCGAATATACATCCTCGTATCCAGGGTCCAGAATATATAGCGCATCTAAACACTTTTCATGAGAATTTAGGCTTTATAAATGCATTATTATTATCATTCATGAACACACACACACAACAATTGTTATAAATACGTTTTAATTTATTTCACTGGTAAGCGCATCGTACGGCGCTACGAGATTAATATTATAATTATACCCGGAAATGTCGTCATAATTCGATCTCATTTCTTCCGGGGCAACTACGCCAGCTTCCGTTCCAAAATCATACACCTGTATGGTACCCCTGTGTCTACGATGTTGTATGAGGTCATCAGCATACCACATATTAACCCGGGGTATTTTATCTACCGGAATATTAGCCGTTACAAGTCGTTCAGTATTAAAACGGCTAAGCCTCACAGGGTGGGATGCCCGCGTCTCCCATAGTACTCCACCCATTCGCAGGTCCCAGACTTTCAGGGTACCATCCTGCGCACCGCTGACCACTTTCCAAGAGTCCATTTGCACGGTTGTTACTGAGGATGAGTGACCTCGCAGGCTCAATTGTGGCTCCTCAGTACGCAAGTCGTAGACACGGACGCGCTTGTCTTTGCTGCCCGTTACCAGACCTCCCACGAAGCCGAGGTTTAAACACGTGATGTCGGCATAGTGACCAACAAAGAGACCCAGGTGTCTGAGCGTCGCAGTGTCGTAGAGACGGACCTGAAATATACAACCAAAAAGGGTGATTGTCTAATCAACAAAGTGGGCCTTAATGGGGATTTTTCAGTTGTACTATCTACACACGTAAATACGCACAAGTTGTAACAAAGATGCAGCAGACTTGTACATAGTCTTTCAAAACATGGTTTGGAAACTCCGCTAAAGTCTTCGTTCTATCTTTTTGTTCGCGTTTATGCAGTTTTGTGCACGGTGCACGGTCAATGAACACATTGTATTTCAGTATAATGAATGGATCATCCAATAGCAACGTTTCAGTTCAGCCATTCAACCATACTATTTAAATATTAATAAACCTAAAACAAAGGATGTGCACGGTGTAAGGTACGGCTCAACATAAACTCCCAGCTCATTAAAACCGCTTTGAAGTTTACTGAGTTTCCAGACCATGTCTTGAAAGACTATGACTTGTAGAAATGCTGTTCCAACAACTTGTCAACAGAATGTGTTCGCACTGCTTGTTTCCAGCTTATTGCCAAGTTGTCAACGGCTTGTTGTCTTGTTGACAACTTGCTACAAGGTTGTTAAGCTCAACAGACGTACTTGTTACAAGTTATTCCAACAACTTGTTATCGTCCTGCAATTCAACAATTTGTCAACAAGTTGTGAGTGACAACCTTGCAGCAACTTGATAAAATAACAGCATTGTTACAACTTGTTGATAAGCTTGCTACAAGCCTGTCGCGAACACATCTTGTTGACAAGTTGTGAGATTTTCACGTGTGTCATGATCCAGTGATTGGAGACAAATTGCAAACGTCAAAATCCCCTCTTACCTTGGCTGTAAATTCAGTGCCAATACCAAATCCAAATGGTGCCCAACCAACGGCAATCAATCCCTCGCCACAGGCAAGAGATGTGACCTTCGTTCCAGCAACTTTATCAAGCTCTTTGAACACATTCAGCCTTGCCTCGTAAATGAATATATCTTCTTTCAAAGACAGTGCGAACAATGTTTTATTTGCATCCGAGCAGTCTGGTAGGGTCTCTACGAAACTGACCTACACGAGGAACAAATCATAATATAACCAAGAGTCGTTTACGAGGTATACAGCCTGCCAAACGTAATTAAGCAATCTCTATTCATGATACAGTAAAACCCGCATATAAGAACCTAGATTTTCCAAGTTAGCCTAAACAGGTTCTTATGCAAATGGTGCATTGGTGCTTACCAGGAAATTAGGCTAAACAGGTTCTTAAATAGGTTCTTATTTTCTTCAGAGAAAAGCAACTCATTTTAGGGAGTGTGGGCATATGCTTTATATTTAAATTAATGCACAAATATGATCTGAAATATGACAGTATATGCACTATACCAACCCTATATGCACTTTAAAGCTACACTGATTGTAACGTATGACTTAATTTTGACTCTATTTCAAATTCTAGCCTGAACAGGTTCTTATTTAAAGCGGGTCTCAATAAAATATTTTAACCTAACAGGTTCTTAAATTCTAGGTTCTTATATGCGGGGTTTTACTGTAGTTAATTCCATCATTTTTTCTAAGCTTGTTTCCCAGAGGTTCAGTAAAGGATGGTTTACACTATCAAAGTTTCTGTGATCACAGTAGGAATTTTGCATAGGTAAATTCTAAGTTTTGAAGGATTTGTAAGAAATGTTTGAGGAAACTAATTCAGTGTTTAACAAAGGGAAATATAATTGTACTGAGTCTCTACCTTGTCTTCAAATGTGTGACTGTGCATGAAGTGCCATTGTCCCTCGTCATTCACTTGGTCAATACGGATGTCTGTACCACTGATATTCAGTAGTAGTGGAGTCTCTTTTGAAGCCAAAGCAATATGGTCGGCTGGTATACCCACGTGGTATTGGTAGATTGGGTCAACACTGATGTCTGTATGCCATACGTTTACAATACCTACACAGTGTTAAGAGAAGGTATATACTAATGTTAACTAAGAAAAAACTATACAGGCATCTCGCTCGATAGCGAAGTAGTATTTCATTCGAAGTAGTATTCAAAGTAGTATTTATTAGTACTACGAGGACTGGACTAGATTTCAAGTCCGGGCAATGGACGACTTGCGCTTTAGACTAAATTTTAATCTAAGTAAGAACAACGAACTATATCACCACAGCTAGAAAGAGCGTCTTGGAATTAGCAATATTACAAAGTTTGGTTGCAACATGTTGTAAAATACGGAAAATATAGCCCTTCAAAGTTGGCAAATTTGTATACTTTTGTATTACGTGCGTGAATTGGTAACTAAATTAGTTACCAATTTCCGTATTTTACAACATACAATTTTCCGTATTTTACAACATTTCGCAACCAAACTTTGCAGTTTTTCTAATTTTGATAACTTCTTTCCGAAAATATCCTAAAGCGCAAGTCGTCCATTTGATCAAGTCCGAGGCGAACCCGAGGACTGGATCAAAATGCGAGGACTTGAAGTCCAGTCCGAATTGGACGATTTGAAATTACATCTCATACGAATAAATCAGTGCTTAAAGTGAGGTGAATTAATTTTGATCCAGTCCAAGGACGGAATTAATTTCGATCCAGTCCTAGGACTGGATCAATGTACTTCATCAGGTATCCAGTATTATTATGTGAGCAAAATAAAGTAATATGGTTGAATTAATTACATGAATTATTAATGAGTTTGAATGTTCAAAGGTTGTTGTAGATGGAATGTCGAGTGAGACTATGCACTTTAAACAGCGCAGCGCTCTGACCACTGAGCTAGAGTCCAGTTGCCAAGCATTAATTAACCACAAGTTCTTGTATAAATTATGTACTTGATGCGAGTGTAAGGTATATATCCCAGGCTAAATATTCAAGATTGAACTGACTTCAACTGAGTATTGTACACTGGCATCACCATATACATGAGAATTTGTGGTATACTTGGCAACTGAACTCTTCTGTATGTACTGTAGCTCTGTGTTCATTGCTTCACCGGAATCACCGGTACACATGTTTGATTCCTGCTGGATACTTAAAAGGTGTGCCCACTTATAAAAGGTAGGTCTGCTTAAGACAGGTCTCCGTTAATAAAGGGTTCCATTTCCATTGTACAAAAGTATAACCCACCACATGAAAAAGCTGTGGCACAGACATTGTCAAGGACTGCAACGCATTCAACACTTGCTTTGCTTGGATCCTGATGTACTTCTGCTGAAGCCTGGAGAGAATGTTGCCAGTTGCTCTCAATATTCCACAGACATGTCTTACCATTGGCATAGCCTGCTATCAGTAGATCATCACGTAACTGACAGGCTGTTAAAACACCTCCTAAAGCAAATAGTAAATTTTTTTTAGAGAAGTGCCTGTAAAACATATTAGATGGGTGTCCGTACTAAAGAGGTCTCCATATTAGAGAGATGCCCATATTTAGACAGCCACAGGTGTCCATATTAGAGAGGTGTCTGAATTAGAGAGGTGTCTGTATTAGAGAGATGTCTGTATTAGAAAGATGTCCATATTAGAGAGGTGTCTGTATGACTGTATTAGATAGGTCTGTATTAGAGAGGTGTCTGTATTAGAGGTGTCCATATTAGAGAGGTGTCTGGTGTCTGCATTAGAGAGGTGTCCATATTAGAGAGGTGTCTGTCTGAACTAGAGAGGTGTCTGTATTAGAGAGGTGTCTGTATTAGAGAAGTGTCCATATTAGAGAGGTGTCTGAATTAGAGAGATCTTTGTATTAGAGAGGTGTCAGAATTAGAGAGGTGTCTGAATTATAGAGGTGTCTGTATTAGAGAGGTGTCTGTATTAGAGAGGTGTCCATGTTAGAGAGGTGTCTGAATTAGAGAGGTGTCTGTATTAAAGAGGTGACTGTATTAGAGAGGTGTCCATATTAGAGAGGTGTCTGAATTAGAGAGGTGTCTGAATTAGAGAGGTGCCCATATTAGAGAGGTGTCTGAATTAGAGAGGTGTCTGAATTAGAGAGGTGTCTGTATTAAAGGTGTCTGAATTAGAGAGGCGTCTGTATTAGAGAGGTGTCCATATTAGAGAGGTGTCTGAATTAGAGAGGTGTCTGAATTAGAGAGGTGTCTGAATTAGAGAGGTGTCTGAATTAGAGAGGTGTCCATATTAGAGAGGTGTCTGAATTAGAGAGGTGTCTGAATTAGAGAGGTGTCTGAATTAGAGAGGTGTCTGTATTACAGAGGTGTCTGAATTAGAGAGGTGTCTGAATTAGAGAGGTGTCTGAATTAGAGAGGTGTCTGTATTAAAGAGGTGTCTGAATTAGAGAGGTGTCTGAATTAGAGAGGTGTCTGTATTAAAGAGGTGTCTGTATTGGAGAGGTGTCCACATCAGAGAGATGTTCAAATTGGAGAGATGTCCATATTGGAAAGGTGTTTATGTCAGAGAAGTGGCTGTAATAGGGTTGTGTCGACTCCATATTAGAGGTGTCCATATTAGTGAGGTCGCCATAAAGAGTAATTTGACCTCACAAAAAACACATGAAAGATCTCCCCAAATAGCACCAGGTACCTAATGTCATTTTGCTCAAGCAATAAACATGGTTCATATACACATAAACAAAACCTTTTTCATATTCGAAAGTTTGAATCTGACATATTCGCTCCTTCCAATTCTGAGTGACCAAATGCCGCCTTAAAATTCCATCCCTCACAAGGCCTTTCCAGTCAACTTGTTCCCTGACGTTACTCCCTTTATCCTTGAAGCCAAGTCTCTTGTACACATTATACCACAGTAACTCATCATTAGCAATGGAAGCCCATGCCTTACTAACACAGGAACACCTACATAAGCCCACCACATCTAAGTGGCTGAGAATTTTTATGCAAATCTCCTTGGGAAGGCGTATGTCGAAGAATGGAATCGTAGTTGTCTCATCAATGTCTCGTATCAATAACGATAGTAAATCTTCGTTGACTTGGTGATGTGGTATGGAAACATTTGATTGGTTGCTTGTTTTATTGGCAATGTCTATACTGTCAGATTGATGGTAGCTTGGAATTTCTAGCGTTAGTAATGCTATTGGTTGATTCGGTTCTATCTTTGGTTTCTTAGAAACCGTGTGGAAATATTCAGAATTGTCAAGCCCCTTGGTGCCTTTATATTGCGAGGTGTTAAAAATCCTTTCTATAGCATTCGAATTACCATCGTTCTGGCAATCATCAGATGTCGAGTCATTTTTGTTGCACACTTGATTTTTTTTACACTTTTCAACAAGGCTTTGTTGTTTTGTTTTGATTTCATGTTTCCATTTTTTTCTGAACGAGTTTAAGTCATTTCCAGCCATATTTAACCGATTTAAAAAGTCAAGGTTTCATAACATCGCTTTACATACACCAGAAAAGCTGCATATACTTTTTAAGTATTAAAATATAATACTATATACAACACATTTATGTAAACTATACACATCATTCTTCAGTGAACTGAGAATTAATATTATTTATATAAAAAAGGCCCATTAAAGTCCTTTTTCCAATATAGAATATTTGTCCGTGGTTTCACAGCAACAACGTATGTATTTTAAATCTTTCTAAGGGACAAAGATCTTTAATAATACAAACAACTTTTAGAAAAACACAATATTCTAGTTCCATCATTTTTGATCCATCATTGTTCAAAAGGAGAATAATTTTCAAATTCCTTAGTAAAACTTCTAATATTCCTTAGTTTTCCGTGCATTTTCCTGGAAATTAAGCAAAAATCATAGGAAAACGCAAAGTTAATCAGTAGTATTGTAATTTTTTAAGCAATAATAATTTCAAATGTTTTAAAATCTAAGGTATTTAACCACAGTATTTAGCATTTTTCTGGAGAAACCTCGGTTACAAAGAGCATTCCTTTCTTTGAAGGATAAATCTTTCGAAGTTCGGAATGATCCAGTGAATTATATAGAGTTCAGTGTAGGATGAGCCAAAAGTGCGGTAAAGTTTCGCGGAATTGGCGGGTAACATTATTTCCGCGGGTAAAAATTGACGGCGGGGGCAATTTACAAAATTTAAAAGGAAAATGAGCGATCATAGAGAGCGACGAAAATTATGTAGTTCAAAAAGAGTGCCTGTTTTTTCAGCATTATTCCTATTAATCGCCACGACTGCTGTTTTCTTTGTATTCCCGTAAGTATACAGTTTATTGTCATGCCTTAAACGTGTCGAAACTCCTCAAAATCGTGTTGTTTTTGTTGATTTTAGATGTCGCTATCTTGTGGCTGAAGTATCGCCATGGATAGCTGTGTACGAAGCTATTTTAACACTCGTTATAATTAGTAATTTTTTCCAAGCTACTATTCAAGACCCTGGCAAGATACCAAGAGGTAAATGGCCGACATGTTTTGGCCAAATCGATTTGTTTAAACCACAAAATATATACCGAATTATATATATGTTAAACATGGAATTTAGTATTGACTTGTAATGATGTCTTTTAAATTTTTAAAATTACTTAATGGAGCTTTAATGCAATTTTTGTAAGGATATTCATCTCTGCTTGAATGTTGCTGAAGCAATTTCATGAAAAGGGCGAAGTTCTAAGTGAAATGTCAAAGCATTTTTAAGCGGAATATGAGCTAATGAGCCAAGCCTATAGTTTATTTTTTCAATATAGAAACATATCAATTGTGGTACAGACTTATCAAATTTATTTAATAATAAAATAAGCCATATTAATTTGAAACTAGGCAAATTTCCTTTGGCTCAAAAGTTTTTTTTGGATGGGAAAAGATTATTTTGTTTGTACCTGAAGACTTTCAATATCCCTAGAGGAAGCAGGAAGTACTGACAATTATTCATGACAAGTGACTGTATAAAACACAGCTAAAAAATTAATGGCTCAATTTAATTCTCAAGACAGATGATCTGTCTGGGCAAACTAGGGCAAAGGCAGTTTATCTGTATATATATATAAAAGCTATGTTTGCACAATATACTCCAATACAGTGTAGATTTCCATAGGACTTCATGACTTAGATTCTTGCACTTCACTTGGTGGAATTAATATTAGAATGTTAGGTTTTGGAATCCAAGTGAGAATATTCTCACGTACCTATTTGATACAGAATATACAACTGAGCAAAACAACATCTCTCTGTTGCAATAATTCATTTGCACATAGTGTTCCTAAAAGGTACGGGTAGCTGTTTTTTATGTCGCTACGGAAAGATTTCTGGTACAGTCTAAATGTAGCATAAATTTGGCAAACAAGTGGATCATTGACAAGTTCATGATGGCAATTGTAAAACCAAGATCAATTTGTACTCGACACTGAGGACCCATCCACATGGTTCATAATTTGTTTGCATCCAGAAGCATTCAGTTGGGGTTAGTGATTGGCCAATTGATAGTCGGAATCGGGCCGATTTTTGCCTCATTAGTCTTAACAGTAGACAATCTGGATCGGTAGAATTACTTGTATTTTCTGATTGAGTAAAACCAATTGTTTAGAAAATATACACTTAAAAAAATTACATACTGTACATTGTGCGTTGATACATGTTGAATGTACATATATACACTAGCGTGTTTTGTCTTTTGTGTAAAGCAAATTAAAGAAAGGTACACTTTTAAGGTAGCGGTAATATGTTATGTAATTCAAAGCGAATCAACCGTGTAAAAACTAAGTGTTCTTTGAGCAACCATATTCTAATCATAATTTAAGAGTTGAATTCTTTGATAAGTGCATATTCTAATCAAGCCTGAGAATAAATTTCCAAAGGTGCCTGACAAAGTGTCAGTCAGGCACCAACTGATTGGTGCCCGACACTGGGCATTTTGTGCCAGCTGACAAAAAATATTAATGCAATAAAGCAAATATAGTTTTTTGTGGGATCCTTAAAATAAAAGAAGTCAATGAAAAGCTTAGTAACAACAATTAAGCCATAAGTCGATTATGTCATACAGAATCGAACATCATACATTTCACAGCATTTCACAAGCATATTCACTGTCTCAATGTTCATATGTGATGACATTTGGTCATACACATAATTTCTAAATGGGGAATGCAAATATTTTGAAATATTATAATGAAATTTTTAATACCAGTTGTAGACAATTTTAGTTGTACCAATTTTCCCAATAGTTGTGTCTGACAATTATACCTTTTCGTATTGGACCTCCCCCACAGAGGAAATTGTATGTTAACCCCCCTACCGCCTTCGGATGTCCTAATACACTTAGTACTATTATCAGAAACAATTTTGTCTCCCCTCCCCCTGTGGACGGCAGAAATTTTCTCTGTGGGGGAAGTGTGGACCTTTTCTGGAACGACCAATTAATCCATGCTAACGAAACACAACATTACAGAATAATTGTAACCAATCAGCACATTTTGATAAATTTACTTATTTCCCACTTCAGTCGCTTTAGAAGCCATTCCTGACGATGACTTCAAATCGCCATTGTTCAAAAGTGTCGAGATTAACGGGATTTCAATCAAAATGAAATGGTGCGACACTTGCAAGTTCTATCGACCGCCGAGATGCTCACATTGTAGTCTCTGTAATAGATGTATTGAGGTATATGTCACCTAGATTTTTAAATAATGTTTAATGAGATACATGCATACTGTACTAGGCAAAAGGTAGGGAGTATGGGGCCATTCTGCCCCAGAAAATTTTTAAAATTTGAAGCCCTGAAATACTATCAGGGCTCAAAATAACAGGAGATAGGTCTCCGGTTAAAAAAAGCAGTCAACTTGATTTTAGCTCAGTCAAAATCTGTTTTTGACCGGTCATTGATACGCTTACACTATAACAGTGAAACAAAGTCAGCCACCTAAGTAACATGAGTCACGATGGAATAAATAGAGAATAATACATAGGTGTGCGGAAATACCAGATTTATTTCGAGTGTTGAACATGATATCTCAAGAGTGAAATATCATGTTCAACACTAGCAATAAATCTGGTATTTCCAAGCATCCATGTATTTTTCTGTTTATTATATAAAGGGGACAGTCTTTGAAAAGTGATCATTTTTACAGAGAAGCGACAACCGAAAAGCGATAATTTTCACATGTGAAATTATTATCATGATAAATAATCTCACATGTGAGATTATCAGTTTTATCAGTGCTTGAAATCTCTATAAAGCACAATACTTTCTATAATAATTCCTGATATATATTATGGGCATGCCAATATTTCCATTTGTTTCCAGGTTTTTGACCACCACTGTCCATGGGTGGACAACTGTGTTGGAAAGAGGAACTATCGATATTTCTTCCTGTTCTTATCATCGCTCAGTGTACAACTTGTCTCTGTATTTACTTTCTGTTTGATTGCAACTTTGAAATTGGATGGTGATTTTGATGATAGTAATGTTATTGCATCGTATCCTTAAAAATATTAATTAGACCGTCAATGAGTCTCCACTTGATTAGCAAGTTCTATAGTCTAAGGGGCAAGCTCTAAATTCAAATTGTGCACTTCAAAACGTAGTTGAATGATATGACAGACCTTGCCAATCACAGACATTAAGCGTTCATAAATAGAAATACATGCCTTGCCCGGTGCGAGGGATATACAGTACAACTACCAATTACAAACTCTTCACTGGAACGAACGCTTTCCGATGAAGGGGCCTTCGCTCGAAACTTCGAAATTTCGCTTCGATTTTTCAAGTTTGACAACAAGCCGTCGACAAGTTGTGTTTGCACTGCTTGTCCCAAGTTGTCAACAAGTTTGGAACAAGATTAAGCTTGATGGCATAATCAGACTTGTTGCAAGGTTGTTCCAACAAGTCCGATACAGTCATGACATAACGATATTGACTTACAACCTTGTATGGTCAACCTTGTAACATTCTTGTTATATCATGACTGTATCAGACGTGTTAGAACAACCTTGTAACAAGTCTGATAATGCCATCAAGCTTGTTACAAGTTGTTAACGGCGTGTTCCAAACTTGTTACAACAACTGGGAACAAGCAGTGAGAACACAACTTGTTGACAGCTCGTGAACAGATTTGTAACAACTTGTTTGCAGACCTGTAACAACTTGTGCGTTTTTACATGTGATTTTATTGTGTAGTTGTACAGTATATCTCTCAATTCCCAGCTATTTTGTCTTCCCTTTATCTGATGCCATATATATTTATGATGCATACTGTACAGCAGGTAGACACACTATAAATAAATCAGGCAATTCCCTTAACTTATTCTCAGTGTCGTAATAATGGTGATATGTGGCCTAGTTGCTTTTCCTGTCTTTGGTTTAACATTCTTTCATATTGGACTCATTTCTTGGGGAAGAACGACAAACGAACAGGTACAGCCATTTTCTATGAGTTTTTACTTTGAATTTCGATGAGCCACCTCATCTTTGAGTACTGTCTTGAATCTTTAGGTTACGGGTAAAGTTCGTCGCGGTTTTAATCCGTTCAATAGTGGTTGCTGTGCAAATTGGGAAAAAGTCTTTTGTTCTCCAATACAACCGCAGTAAGTGATGTATTCTGTTCTAGTCGTTAGATATGCCTGTTTAAACATGGAATTTACCAAATAGGCCTATCAGTCTATCAGCCTTAAACTTCTCTAGAGGTGTAATATAAGGGTCATACTTTACTGGAACAGTGTTAAGACCATGGGCGCTTTCCATTTAATGACCAGACCGGTTAGACTAGATTTCTGTCTCGTTATTAATGGAAGATCTGGCCCATGTTTCACGAAAATCTAGCGAAAATGGGCCTCCTTCTAATTTGATCCAAATTTTCCGGTCAGAAAGGTCCGAAGGCCAAATGTTTTGTGTTCCACCCAACAATTTGACCGTTCTGACCGAATTAATGGAAGCGCCCCATGTTCACGAGCACTTTTTGCCGAAACTTGCAACGCCATTTTGGATACGGAGCCATGTTACTAAAACGTCGTCACAGAAAAATGTGAACATGCCCGCATTCTACTCTGCTGACAATTTCTTTACATACCACACTCGTAAGGGATGAAACGTAGAAGAAATGGGTTGAAACGTGTCGGCCGAATAGACCGTGGTCAGAAAGTTTTATAACGTGGCTTGATGTCAGAATTGCGTTGCAGGCTGCAGCAAACTTGCCTCGTGTGATATGGGTTTTCCTTGGGAAACTTGAACTAAAATCTCGTTATTTCTGTTGCAAAGCTAATTGTTCATTCCCTATATGCTGCATTAAACCGTGATTAAACAAGAATAACTGAGTCATACTGAAACTCAAGCAATCTTCTCACATGCGGCTGAGGCAAAATTATAATCCAACAACTACCTGTTATATACATTTGCAAAAACCCCAGTCACAGACCTTAAAGGCAAATATATATTAACCACTGATTTTGTGTCATTGACACCTATTAATTTCAACCGTAATGTTCTGTTTTTTCTTTATCATCAGCCACATGCATTGTGAAAAACTGAATGAACAGTCAGATGTAAATGGAGAGACATCGCCTCAGGATGTAAGATTTGAAATGGAGATGATGCCAAATCATGAAATGTCATTTACAAATACACGGAATTCAAATGGAACTAGGGTAATGTGATTAGCTGAACTAAACTAAACCATCTTCATTTACATTGGATAGCTCTTTTGTAAACTGTTCTCCCTTGAGGTCCTCTAAGGTAAACTGTTCTCCCTAGAGATCCAGTAAGGTAAACTGTTCTCCCTAGAGATCCAGTAAGGTAAACTGTTCTCCCTAGAGATCCAGTAAGGTAAATTGTTCTCCCTAGAGATCCAGTAAGGTAAACTGTTCTCCCTAGAGATCCAGTAAGGTAAACTGTTCTCCCTAGAGATCCAGTAAGGTAAACTGTTCTCCCTAGAGATCCAGTAAGGTAAACTGTTCTCCCTAGAGATCCAGTAAGGTAAACTGTTCTCCCTAGAGATCCAGTAAGGTAAACTGTTCTCCCTAGAGATCCAGTAAGGTAAACTATTCTTCGTAGAGATCCAGTAAGGTAAACTGTTCTCCCTAGAGATCCAGTAAGGTAAATTGTTCTCCCTAGAGATCCAGTAAGGTAAACTGTTCTCCCTAGAGATCCAGTAAGGTAAACTGTTCTCCCTAGAGATCCAGTAAGGTAAACTGTTCTCCCTAGAGATCCAGTAAGGTAAACTGTTCTCCCTAGAGATCCAGTAAGGTAAACTGTTCTCCCTAGAGATCCAGTAAGGTAAACTGTTCTCCCAGAGATCCAGTAAGGTAAACTGTTCTCCCTAATGTCTACTTTTCAACGTGTTTTAACAGCCGGATGGCATTTCACCTCCACCGCCCCAGAAAACGAACCTACAAACTCCAGAACCTCGATCTGAGCCTACCCTCCTCCCTCAGACAAGTCCCCTTCGTTCTCCACGTTCCCCAAATGCAAGAGGAGCTTCGCCGATGTTCTACACCCCTGAGAAACAGCTGGGACAAGTGAGGGTATATCGGGAAGCAGAGGTATAAGAATAGATCACATAGTCTTCAACTTCGTACCAATAGAAAACGGAAGGGGGGCTGTGCCCCTCGATAGGACATATTGTTTGTGTATCATAAACATAATTATCTGTTTCCTGTTAGCTAGTTTATAAGATATATTTAAAACATTGAGGGTTCCGCATGTGAAATCTTCTCCAAAAAACAGTGGTGTAACTATTCTTACCACTTGCGATTAGGGCAAGTTAGACAAAGTAAGTTTTGTATATATTTGCATTACGCGCGGGAAAAATAACTATTTTTGAGCTGAAAGTGGTTATTTCTACCTTGCGTAATACAAATATATACAAAATTTGCGAACTTCACAGGGCTATATTTTCTTCATTTTACAACATTTAGCAACCACTAAATTTTGCAGTTTTACTCATTCTAAGATGCTCTTTCGAGCTGTGGTGTTGGATTTCGTTCTTCTTGCCTTGATCAAAATTTAGTTTAGAGCTGGAATCACCCATTGTTGATTGGCTCGTAGGCACTGTTTTTCAAGAAGCCATTTATTACAAGTATTTACAATTGAATGCACTACATTTGTTCCTAAATATATCCTATCCTATGTATATATTTACAAAGTTGCCATATATTGAATCAAATGCCGTCGTCAAGAATACGTTTAAATTTGTTAAGGCTAATGCCTTTTTCTTTTGCTGTAATATACGAATGAATAGATAGTAGCCAATAAAAGAATGTATTTTTCTCACGTGATACTGTACGTGATATTTGCAGCTACTGTATTTTGAAATTTAGAGCGAAGTAAAATATTAGTTTAAGTTTAGCACTTTAGTTTATGTTTGCGACAAACACATAGAGCTGAGTTAACTGCATAGAAATATTAGACCTAATATTTCTATTAGGTCTAATATTTCTATGGTTAACTGGCACGTGTGACGACTCAGCCAAATGCTCTCGTGTGAGCTTTTACCAAACATATTGTTCAAACCATAGTTAAGATATGCTCTGGGTACAGTCTGTCAAGATATGATGGTCTGCAAACTCGGCAAACTTCAAAGCTACAAAGTAGAAGAGCTTTGTTTGATGTTGAACTGTACCTCAACGTGCACAAATCCTTTGTCTCAACTTCAGTAAGGGACGTACCATTAGAAAAGTGATGGGGGG